GACCCAAAAGTGGGTTCATCTCGACGTTTCGCTACAATTGTATGTAGCTTTTTCAGGAGAACAAAGAAAAAGAAATCAAAAGACAGGAAGATGGGTAGTTAGCAACGGTAACTCAGTTACTCAACGCAACCAGAGGCGAATACTAACTACCAAGATGGGTATTTGGTCACAGTAACTCAACTACTTAACGCAGCCAGAGGTGAAAACCAAATGCCAGGACAGGGATTCACGTCCAACTGCTCAGATTGCTGGATCCGGATGATTCACTCCCCGCTCTCGACGCGTTAGTGTTCTGAGCTGTTGGACGTGAATCCCTGTCCTGGCATTTGGTTTTCACCTCTGGCTGCGTTAAGTAGTTGAGTTACTGTGACCAAATGCCCATCTTGGTAGTTAGTATTCGCCTCTGGTTGCGTTGAGTAACTGAGTTACCGTTGCTAACTACCCATCTTCCTGTCTTTTGATTTCTTTTTCTTTGTTCTCCTGAAAAAGCTACATACAATTGTAGCGAAACGTCGAGATGAACCCACTTTTGGGTCACTCACAAATGACACGGTCCAAACCCGGAAGACGAATAAACTATAATTCTGACTCTGGCCGTGGAAGCCTACGATTTCATTTTACCATTATCGTTATTTGTACAATTTTATAGTATTAAAAATGTCTCAGTTTTGCTTTATTTGCAGTAAACTTTTAATTAAGTGAAACTAAAACAGTTGTGGTTGATCGTGGAATGCCAAATTTAATCGAGGTTAGTGTCGCGAGAGCTGATGAGTTTATTCAGTATTTAAGAACTCAAAAATCCGTTACAATACACGTGGATTACAGAAAATCATATATTCGGAAAACTTCAATCGCTGCAGTAAAAAGACAATGTGAAGAAGAAAAGGCTAGTACTTCAAAAGTAAGTCCACAAAATACTCGAACGCGAGTGAGTAAATCACATTTTTGTTTTAAAAATACTGTTTATTTTGTGGCAATGAAGCCAATAAAGAAACTGAGAAAAAGAAAGCACAGCATCTTCGAAAACTAATTCGTAACGTGAATACACTAAAATTCAAAGAATCCCTGTTGAAATTAGCTAAAGATCGTTCTGATAATGTTTCGAAGGCTGTTCTTGACCTTATAAATGAACGAGTATGATTTAGTCGCTGCTAATGCAAAATACCATGACAGTTGTTACAAGTCTTTCTTAAAACCTAATACTGGTAGTAAAATTGGCCGTCCACAAGATGAAACTGTAAACTCTGCGATGGAAAAAACGTTTCAATTCATAGAAACGAGTGAAGATTGCCAGTTTTCGTTGGATGAATTAAGGAATGTTTGTCAAGATGTAGTTTTAGATGACAGAACTCTAAAAATACGATTAAAATTGAAGTATGGTAGTAGAATAATTATTACAGAAAAGTCTGGAAAATTAACATTTATTTGTTTTATTGACAATTAGCAAGATATTTTAAGTCACGTCTGGTCTGATAATAAAGATTTGGATGAAAAAGACAAGATGCCGATACCTAACCGATACGTAATATTTGTAAAAAATACGCGAAACAAGAAACAAGTACAACTATGATATCTTCCTCCAACATCAGCATCTACTTTTCAACATTTGTATCGAGTATATTATCAAGTTCAAACATGGCTAGGCAATGAACTGGCCTTCCTTACCTTTCCTTCCTGGAAATCCTTACTCCTACCTGCCCCAGAAAAACTCCTTAACACTATTTTTTGCAATTGCAAAAAAGGTTGTAGTGCCAAATGTGGATGTAAAAAAGGATGTAAAATTGGATTGCTGTGTTCTCTAGCATGTACCAACTGCCACGGTCAGTCTTGCTCAAATGTCCAGTTTAGTACAACAGAGGAAGATTAATGCGATTTTAATGAAGAGACCAATGACTCGGTCACATTTGAACAATTTTTGAACATCTAACAAGAGGAAGAGGGAGAAGATGAAATCGAAAAAGACTTGATTATTGAAGTAGACTTTCAAGAATATGAATCTGATTAAAATATCTAACGAAATCAAAACAATAGTTAACCTAATAATCAATAGCAATATCAATAATAAGGTAATCTAGAACTTGACCGGTATTGTTTACTTAAATTATCCTATAATTGTCAAGCCAAGCATGACAATTTTAATGTACACAAAAAGGTAAAAGAAATAACGGGTACTTTTAAAAAGCGAACACAAATGAAACTCATAGACACCAATGAAAAATTAATCATTGACACCCAAGAGATGAAAGACAGATGGAGAATATATTTGGAGATACTTTTTCAAGACCAAAGAACGGATTATAGGCATCCATTTTCAGAGAGGATGACGGGAACGGACATACTTAAATCCGAAGTAGAAGAAGCAATAAAACGGATGAAAAGCAGGAAAGCTGTAGTGCCTGATAATATCGAAGCTGAATTTTTAAAACTCTTGGAGGAAGAAGGAATAATTTGGATCACGGCTGTCTTCAATAAAATTTACAATACAGGAATCATCCCTGATAAATGGCTAGAATCAGAATTCATAGCGATACCTAAAAAACAGGGGGCTAAAAAGTGCGAAGAATATCGAACAATCAGCCTAATGAGCCACATGTTGAAACTGTTTCTTAGAGTCATCCATGGAAGAATTTATAAGAAGTGCGAGGAACAAATATCGGACAGACAGTTCGGCTTCATTAACGCAGTGGGTACCATAGAGGCACTTTTTGGAGTACAGGTACTGATTCAAAGATGCAGGGACTTTAACTGCGACGTATACGCGTGCTTGATCGACTACGAAAAGGCATTTGACAGAGTTTAACATCAAAAGATGATAAACATTTTAAAAGAGGCAGACTTGGATGACAAAGACCTCAGAATAATTTCAGAACTCTACTGGAATCAGACCGCATACATGAAAATTAACGGAGAAGAAACAGATCACATAAAAATACGACGTGGAGTTAGACAGTGATGTATCCTATCGCCGTTGATATTTAATATGTACTCAGAGAAAATTTTTAACGAGGCTCTTTACGGAATAGACGAAGGCATCCTTCTAAATGATGAAAGAGTAAACAATGTTAGATATACCGACGACACCATGGTGATAGCAGATAGTTTAGAGGGACTTCAGAGGCTAATGGACAGAATAAACGAGTACAGTCAACAGTACGGACTAAACATTAATACCCACAAAACGAAACAAATGATTATCAGCAAGGAGAATATAAATGGGGCTCATATATACATTAATGGGACGCAGATAGAGCGAGTAAAACAGTATTGTTACCTGGGAACTATTATTAACGAACAGTGAGAGCAATTTACAGGAAATAAAGTGCCGCATAGGAAAGGCAAGAACGGCCTTTAACAAAATGAGCGCCATCTTCAAAAGTCACAACATATCCCTTGATACAAAAATGAGACATTTGAGATGCTATGTTTTCTCTGTGTTGTTGTACGGGGCGGAGGCATTTACGCTTACAGACGCCACTATTAAAAAACTTGAAGCATTTGAGATGTGGCTTTATAGAAGAATGCTGAGAATATCATGGACAGCAAGGATCACGAACAAGGAAGTTTTAGGAAAAATGAAGAAGGAACCAGAGATTGTGTTTACGATCAAACGCATAAAATTGCAATATCTGGGACACGTTATGAGAAATCAGCACCGTTACTCCCTGCTACAGTCTATATTGCAAGGTAAAGTCAAAGGTAAGCGAGGACCCGGTAGAAGGAGAATATCATGGCTGCGGAATTTAAGAACATGGTTTAAGAAAACCTCAACGGAGCTGTTTCGAGCCGCAGCGAGCAAGGTTATGATTGCCAATATGATTTCCAACATCCGAAACGGATAGGAACTAGAAGAAGAAGAAGAAGATAATTGTCAAAACAGTTGATGGAGTAGACCTACAAGGGAAACCACAGTAAAAAACGCGCCGAGTACACCACCTCACATGTGGTGTGGAAACGTGTGCATATTATCATGTATAACGTGACTCTTAGAATCGCGATATCTCAGGAATGGCAACTCTTAGCAAAAAAATAGTAAGGACTATTTTTGTAGAGAATTTTAATATCTACAACTTCTGCTTAAGTTCTTTTTTTTTTGATAAATCTAAAAATCTCAAATTTTACCTTTGACCCCGAATATCTTTTGTTGCACACATGGGATCGATGGGGGCTTTTAAAAATTTATTTGTTATGGTATACCCATCGAGCAAAAAGACAATAGAGGGAATGTTAAGGTAGTGGGGGCAAACATATTGTTAGACAGGAAGTGCGATCTTTAGAGGCCACATTAAACAAGGAAAGAGAGTCTCTCTCCCTGTTTGACATCAAATTTAGTTGGGTTATGTTATTGTTTGTCTCAAATGTCACATGAAATCTTATTTATATTGAAGTTTTTTAATAATTGTGTCGCATTTTAGACTCTTATCATTAATAATTAATTAAAACTTTCTCGTCTAAGACACATTCTGAAAAATATTATATAGCTACTGTTGATAAGTGTCGGAAAATTTAAATTTGGCGCATTCGCATTTCCGGATATGTCCGCCATCAGAGGCCACTTTTTTGGTCTCCTTTTCATAAGCATTAGATTCCCTCTTTTGTCTTATTGCTCGATGGGTATACCCTTGCTCTCCACCAACATTTGCCTCTCCGGTAATTTTTGTTATTTCAAATGTCCATATGACCGGTTATAATGACTTATTTTTATCACAATTATGCAGGTACTTTTGACCATGTACAGCTTTTTATATATTTTATTATATAAAATATTTTAAAATATTTTAAAAAAGTAGTTATTGTAGGTATATATTTCAAAGACTATTAATGACTAATCGTTATCATAAAGAACAATATAAACAAATATTTGTTTTTACAAAAAGTTCTTATCTACCCCACCTACTAGTTATTATATATCACATAATAATTCTCTATTTAAAAACTTATGCGTTGCATCAACTTTACGACTCCGTAATTAAAAAGTAAACATTTTTACAAAAAATGTTTTTAGAAAATGTTCTTATCTACTCCACTTACTAGTTATAATATTAAATAATAATTCTCTATTTAAAAAATTACGCGCTGCATCAATTTTACGACTCCATAATTGCAAAGTAAACATTTTTAACTGTTGAAGGTTAAATAAAGTGCAATAATTGAACTATTGGAAATACATTAATAGATTGTTTTTTGCCAAGGAAGTTAGTCGATTAAAGTAAAAAAGGCACGATGCGTTCAGAATTGTTCGTTGTAAGTTTGTTCATACCGACATTACTGGCACAAATACCTATATCAAGATGTCCTAGTGTGAAAGTTCAACAAAATTTTGATGTTGCAGCCGTAAGTAGTGACTGTTATTATTTTGTGTGTGTCTGTGTTATTATTTTGATTTTTTTAAAGCTATAATCGACCAGGGAACTATAAGATTTTCTCAAAACACTCTTTGATACAAGTATTTTACAACTGCTATTAATAAATTTGGTAATAACAATTTGTAATAAACAAAATAGGCAAAAGATCAAACGTAAATTTTTACTTATAAACAATATATAATCAATGTAGGATCACTATTTGATCTTAAATACTAAAGGTGAAGGCCGGTAAGTTATTTGAAAAATATTTTAAAATGAGAGTTTGTAAAGTTGTTTTTGTTAATTTGTTAATTAATTATTGTTCATATAGCTAAAAAAGTCGATTTTTTAAAAATTATTAATAACTTTTCTAAAAATGTACAAAAAACTTTGATTCTAGCGTGGATTGAATATCTGAATTAGTATTAAGGTGAACCCGTCGAAGTGTGAACTAGTTTTCAGTTAGATGATTTTCAAAAATAAACATATTTTTCCACAAGTTCTATGGGCGACTTTTCGACTTCTATTAGCTCATTGGAGACGAGGTTGGTCATCATTTTTGTTTCTTCCATAGTTTATGTTTAAACCGACTTTCTGGGTTACTTGCTGTAGTTGTTTGTAGCATAACTCTGGCTTCTCCTAAATTGTCTGTTATGAGAACAATATCATCGGCATATCTGAGATGATTGAATATCTTTCCATCGATGCTAATACCCTTTGATTCCCACTCTAGCCGTTTAAATGCGTACTCCACAACTGTTATAAATAGTTTTTGGCGACAAGATATCTCCCTGCCGCACCCCTCTGCCAATTTTCATCTTCTCAGTCATGCAATAGAGGTTAACGGTTGTTGTCGCATTTTCGTATATATTTCGAATAATATTTGCATACCTGTGATCTATTCTGCATTCTGATAGTACTTTTAAGATAGCAACTGTTTTGACTATGTCAAATGCTTTGTGGAAGTCGACAAAGATACGAGCAAGGGGTCTGTTATATTCGATAGACTTTTCAACTAGAGTTTTAAGGCATTGCAAATGGTCGTTTGTTCCGTGTCCCGCTCGAAATCCTGCCTATTCTTCTGATTGATAGAAATCGAGTTTTGCTTCTAATCTGTTTGTCAGTATTCGAGTAAAGAGCTTGTATAGGTGGTTAAGCAAACTAATTGGCCTATAGTTTTCGAGATCTAATTTTTCCCCTTTTTATGGAGGATTGTAACCTGTAATTCTTCCATTTACTTGGAATGTTTTCGCTATGCAGACATAGATTAAAAAGTGTTTGGATTCGGGACATCAAAAGTGGACCTCCTAGTTTAATTGTCTCAATGACTACACCATCTTACCCCGGAGTTCTATTATTTTTCATATTTTTGAGGGCATGTTGAATTTAATCTCGTGATATATCTGGTATATCCTCCGATCCTACATTATGTACCTTTTGTACTGGTTGTTGGATGAGCTCTGGAATAACTTGACTTTTATATAATGTTTTATAGAAACTTTCCACTATATGTAATATTCTTGGTCTATCTGAGATAATATTTCCATTTTGTCTTTAAGTTGGAAGATTTCTTTTTTGCCATTTTCCATTTTTCTCGTCAATGCTTTCATGCTTTTGTTGTCTTCTATAGTTTTTACAATTTTCTTGTTGTTGTATTTTATAATAAGAATATTTCTAGAATATTTCTAGAATAAGAAACGAGGAAGTTCGTAGACGAACCGGAGTGGAAGACGTTATCAAACATATTACAAGGCAAAAATGGAGATGGGCAGGACATGTTGCAAGAATGAAAGACGACAGTTGGAAAAAAATTGCTTGAGTGGAGACCACGGACTGACAAGCGAAGCCGAGGAAGATGCGATGGACCGACGACCTCAAAAGAATCGTGACCAATTGGATAGCAGAGGCGCAAAAAGCAGATGGAAAAATCTAGAGGAGGCCTATGTTCAACAATGGACAACTCAGGACTGATTGATGATGATGATAATGACTCTACAATAACCCAACTACCCAGCGCGATTTGGTTCTTTTCCCAACTCTCCAACTGTAGGCACATCTTTCTCAATTATTTGTTCGTTTTATTCAAATATTTAAGGATCTAAATCATTTTCAGAGTCCAAATATTGTACCAAATCTTCTTCCGATTCTGAGCTACTAAAAGTTTCTTCTCGTTTTCTAATCCTGTTCGGTTTTGAGTTTTTGCTTCTTTTTTCTTTCTGTGTTCTTCTACTTTTGTTTGTTTTTCTATTTCTTCTATATTTTTCAATCTATTTTCTTCTGTAAGTTTATTCAGAACTTCTTCGGAAATAACGACTTCTGCCCCTGCAGCTACTTTTTTTCTTTTTGAGCCTGAAGGACTGTGCTTATTTGTCTGTTTAACAGTGTTTATAGCAGCTCCTCAAAACTTATTTTTGAAGAACTACTACTTGGAGTTGCATCAGAAATATTAGTTGTATTGTTTTCCACAATCTGGTCTATATTTACCTACTGATCCATATTGCCGGCGGTAATAGCATTCATATTAGTATTTGCGGTTTCAGCTACAACTATTGTTTAGTCTTCTAAATTCTTTTGTTTTTTTTTTCCATCTTTTTAGGCTTTCAGGCTGGTATTTTTCCTTTAACATAACATAACGGTTAAATGGATATATACCAGCTTTTCTAAACCCGTTTTTGATAATTTCTAAGCTTACGTTTTTCCATGTAGTGAATGTAGTTTCCAAGCATTTTTAGAGATTTAAATACGGCTAAATCCAAAGGCTGCAGAAGGTGGCTGGTATGAGGAGGAAGTTTGATGATTGTGATATCATTCTGTCGTTCTAATTCAACTAGTTCAATACTAATATGGGTACTATGACCGTCATATATCAACAGTATCGGTCTACTTTCTCCTAATGCGGGAATAAACTTTTTTTTTTAATAATTAAAAAATACGTCACTTTCCATCCATCCATTGGGACTGGCTGCATAAGCAGTTCCCGGAAATGAGTTCTTGTTATCTGGTAGCCAGGAATTTCAAATATTTTTTTCCTTTGAATACGATTAGTGGTGGTGCCTTCGTCCCTGATGGAAACACTCCTGAAAGAACCATGGTGTTTTCCCTTCCTGGACTAGAAGTAGTTCTGGAACTTCGTTTACCTTTAGCTACACGACTTTGGTTTTTTTGAGGTCGTGAGAAATGGATGTTTCGTCCATATTCCACACGAGTTGAGGCTTCCTCTAATTTTAGCTGAACTTAAGTTTTTTGAGAATATCAAAATATTTTTGGATGATGAAAGGATCTGTTATTTTTTTTATGAGTACTCCACAGCTTGGGGTTTTTTATGCTAAGTTGTTGACCTCTTTTAAAAGTCCCGAAAAACTCATGCCTGCGTGCTATCCTTAAATGGAATTTTTATCTCATTTTTAGTAACAAATTCGCGAACAATCTCTAGTAGTTCCAATCTGAATATTCCTAATCTCCAGCTGCTCCATAGTTTGTAGTCCTTGGGCAATCTAGTCTCATCTTGGAGTGGAATCGCTGGAGCCCTCCCTTGCGATTTGCTTTTAACTTCTCGAGCACCAGTCACATGGTAGAATAATGTTCTCATAGGAATATTATAAATTTATGTGCCCGGTATATTGAACAAAGCGAGGAATTGGAAGAAAGAATATCATTTTTAAAAAACCTGAGAAAATGGTTCCCCACAACAACTAATCTATTAAAAGCATCAAATAATAAAATAATTATAGCCAAAATGATCGCGAATATTCGGAACGAATAGGCACCAAAAGAAGAAGATTCTTCTTCTTCATGTACCATGACCCTTCAGAACGTTGGTTACCATCATAGCTATCTTAATTTTATTTACTGCCACTCTAAAGACCATGCTTGTATCAACACCATACCAATCTCGCAAGTTCTTCAACCATGAGGTTCTTCTTCGTCCTGGACTGCGTTTGCCTGCTATTTTTCTTTTCATGATATTTTGTAGCAACCTATAGACGATATTGGGTTTGAAATCATTTCTACAACTGTTTATCTGTTGGTGGAATCTCCGTGAGTTTTTTCTGTGGTTATGGTGGTTAACAATCTCGTTTCTTGGTTAATAGATATATCAATCTTCATTTCTTCTGACCTTTTTAGATTTTAAACCACTTTGTGTGCATATATTTCTTATATGCTATGATTTTCTTCGATATTTGATTAAACTTCGTTTAAAATTTGCAAGTAATTGTCTCTAGTGGTTTCAGATTTATGCCCCTCAGTATTATATTTCGATTATATTACTTCATAGATTCTAAAACTAAAATTTTGGTTTGTGACTTTTGTAGGAAACTTTTTTTCTTTAACTCAGTTTGTGATTGTTATTTACACACGTAAACATTTTATTAATTAGTTTCTTATTATTTTAGTATTTAGGTAAATGGTATGAGCAAGAAAAGTATCCACTAATATTCGAAATAGGCGGCAAATGCATTACCGCTGACTACTCGAAAAGAAGTGATGGTAAAGTTGAAGTTTTTAACCAGATGAAAAATGTTTTGTAAGTATTTGGTGAAGAAACTAAAACTGTCTACATTTCTCTCGGGTGATTTATATTGTTTATAAATATTCAGAAACTATTTTTTATTTTCGTTAATTTATTTATTGATTTATTATTTTGTCCTTCACAACCTACAGATGTAAAAAACAGGAAGAGTATGCAAAACAATATAAAAAAACAGTAAACCAGCAAGAAAAAAATACCAGAAAAATAAATAATAAACATAATAAAAGTAACAACTACTAACGTTAGCGTAAATATTAGATACATCAGCAAATTCTCAGAAAGCTAAATCAAGGATATATTTATTTCCATCATTTTCTATTATCAATACCAGGATATATTTATTTCCATCATTTATTTCTGGAAATAGACCTGCAATGTCGATTGCTACTCTTTCATATGACTACTAACAATATACTGTTTTTATGTGTGCCTTCTTTTTACCAACTGGACCATTACTGGTTTCTTACAGTTCACATTTCGGCACCATCTTCATACATCATCTTTACAGTTCACCCAAATCTCGAACCTTTTGCAGAGTCTTCATAATATCAAAGTGTCCACTCGATGCACCGTCTTGCAACTGCCTCAATAGTTCTTACACTTTACTTTTAGGTAAAATCAACTGAAGCTTAGACTCTGTACCATCATAGTCTTCTAAGGTTCTATACAGAAGATCATGTTTAAGTACCAGGTAATTCCATTGGTGCTCGTAGAACTTGACTTCTGGACTACATGCACCAATGTGTTGCCAAGAAGATCTCTCACTTTGACTCATCCAATCCAATAATCTTTTTATACATGAGTCATCTGCTTGGGCCTCTTATAACTGTTAAGACTTTCATTGATCATTAATGATGGCAGTTTGTCTCACAGGGCAAAGTCGTTCCTCTAATTTAAGACAGCAATTACAATTTTCAGTGAATGGTCGAAAGAGTATCAGCATTTGAATGAACTAGCTCTGTGTTCGATTTGTTCTACTTTGTTTTCCAATTCTTGTACTATTTGCTTGCAATTTACTGCAAATGTGGCATACTTCGCCACCATTTCGACAGCTAGGCTCGCCTCTCTTGGCACCGTGTTACGAATTACTTTCCGTGCGATTTTCTCCAGACCTTTATCGTTTTGTTCTCGCTCTCTTCAGAGGTTCGTACTCGTAGCTTCGTGAAGCCTGACTAGCTGTTTCATGTTCCAAGGCAATGGCGAGCATTTCATCTAAGACAATTTATCTTGCTGGTCGTAAAGCTTTCTGTAGTTCACTGTCCCTCAACCCATTGATGAAGGTATATACAGCAATTTCTTTCAATATGTTGTCTGGTGCCTCTGGATAAGCCAACAGCACTATACGAGCAACATCTGCTTTAACTTCTTGCAAATTTTAACTTGCTCTTGAATTCTACTTCTTAGTTGTGCTTTGTAGACCTGTTGTAGATGGGCATCTCCGTAACGTTTGTCTAGTCAAGTGAACAAGGTCTGGTAATATTTTTCGCGACCCTTAGGAATCCTTAGGATATCCGCAGCATGAGCTCGTAAAGCAGAAGTCAAGGAAACAGCTTTTTTTGTTGTGTCCAATGATTGGTTGTAGCAATAGCTTTAAATTGCTTAAGGTATATGGACTAAGAAGATGTCCCATCAAATGGAGGCAATTTGAATTTCATATGATGTATCGTTTCGTCTCTCGGTGATTTTTCTTTCACTACATGATCTAAAACTACAGGATTAACTGGTGGTAGCACTTTTGTATTGGTTATCACGCTCTCTAATTGTTTGATCTTTTACATTATTCTGTATCTTATTGAATGTTCTAGAAAGTTCTTTAAATTTTTCATTGTTCTATTAACGTACTTCTTTAAATATTTATTAGAATTTTCCTCCTAATTTATTGGAAACATTTTCAGAAATTTTCTCAATCATTTAAAAACTTTTTTAAATTCCTCATCATTCTTTCTACAAGTTTCTTCGATCTTCGTTAAAACTGCTTCTTCTGCTAATTGAAAATGGAATATATCTGGGTCATCTTCATTCTTGTTGAGAACATTCTTTAGTGGTTCTTGGAGGATCTTTTTGGACCCGCTGCAGTCTTCATTTTGTTCTTCTAGTTGTTCACGTAATTGTTTTACTGACAGCTCTGCAAGCCGCATCTTTGGTCAGGTACACAAGTAGTTTTTAACTGTTCTTTTTTACAAAGATCACTACCGTCTACGCGGATAACGAGTACTTTTTAAAAGTTCAAAAGTATTTTTCAGAAGTCACTCTGAATTTATTTTTAAATAAATGAATTACCTCACACCGTACACCACTGTAGCAAGTTTAATAAAACGAGCGGTTATATTGGTGCTTTGGAGGGCCGCAAAAAAGATGCGTTCCTTGGGTTGCAGGTTGTCGACCTCTGTTATTGATGAAATCAAGAGAGAAGACCACGAGTTAAATACAAGAATACCAAGAGAAAAGAAAGATAGATTTTTCCTACACAAAATGTTTGTATAAAAAAGTGTCAAATATCATATATAAAACATTCTATGACCGACTGTTTTATATGAAAGCGTAATATGAGTGCTAAACCAACTGAAATTTGAAACAATAAGTATATGGAAGAAAAAACTTTGGGAAACATGTATGAAGGTATTTGGGAAGAACAGATATGCAGATGGAAAGCGAGCTACTAGTATATTGAGTTTCGACAATGATACTGTGTTAACTTAAGACTAAATTATTCTACATATCTCCTACTTGCATAATTTTCTGTTATAAAGATTTAGCCCTTATTTGGAAAATGTTTGCATTGGCATATCACTTCTCTCCAAATGGATTTTTCTTTAATAGCTAACTTATTTTATAGTTTGTACTTTTAAATTTTTGTTGTTTAATAATGAATGAAAACCATTTTATTATTGCTTTATATATTTTCAGAACCAATTCAGTATCCTCAATTAAAGGAACAGCTGAATTAGCATCAGAAAAAGGGGAAGCAAAACTATCAGTCACTTTCAAAACACCCGGTATGTAGAGCTTCATTATTCTAAACACAAAGTGTTGAAAAATGGGTGAGGTTATTGCATTTTAGTATTTCCGCTATTTTGATTTAACCCTTATGCACAAATTAACTGTTTTTCTTGTTTTTTTCAGTGACTGTTACTTCACCTTATTGGGTACTAAGTACGGACTATGTAAACTGTTCAGTAGTGTATTCTTGCCAAACAATCTTTGGTATTTCTGCTCGTATGTATTTATCTACTTATTACGTTGATATAAATAGTTTTCGTTTTCATACAAATTTTTCAAAAAAAAAACGATATTGCTTGGTATATCTCATTATTTTGTTCTATTTTTTCTAGACACTGCATGGATTCTTACGAGAGATCAACACCCGTCTCAAGATATTATCAAAACGGCTCGAAAAGTACTTAAGGATAATAAAATCGACACTTCTTTCTTGATAAAAACAGATCAAAAACATTGTTAACTATAAAAATATTGTATATTAATTTTGTTCTTTGTTAAATATTTAGTTGTTTCTTTATTAAAAATATATACACAAGTAAATTAAGTAAACACGTTTAGGTTTTATTTTTTCAAAGCTTTACAGATTCTTTTCCAGAATAAATCAATCGTGTCGGTGATTAGGTTCAGTAGACATTCCCAAATCTATGGCTAAACAGGTTGACATTGACAATGATTTGATATAAGTTTGACATAAATATTTGGATTGAATGAAAGCGAGACAAGGAAAATGATTAATAGAAAAATAGAATGTTAACAGATTAATGGTTAGGTTAACTTAGCAAAGAATATGTGGATTGTTTGTGGATACCATTGTTTTTAAGTTTTAACTACTCAAGATTATTAAGCCGAGAATGCGAGGACAATTTCAAACGCATGGAATTTTGAACCCATGATGGATACAGGAGATGAAAATTAATAATTTTTAAAAAACATTTTATGTTGTAATCCCATGAATCAAATCAACTTTTCCTTACTTTTCCAGTAGGAACAAATATGCCCAAAAACTTAATGTTTGGAGGGATGTTTTGGGGGATTGGTCTATATCCTCGATCCATTTTTTATTAATCGAAATTTAAGTGGCAATAAATATTTAGAATAGTAGCAACATCCACTTCAGCTGAGGTTTTTATTTTAATTTAAAATATTTGGAACTTGAGGAAATTAAAATGACCAAGGTATAGTTTTTGTATCACTTTTATGAAACTTGTGGAAATTGGATTGTAAATTGTTTTTACAATGTTTAAATTTTGTTTTTAGATTAGAAGGCAACATGAAAGCAGATTTACTAAGGAAATGAAATGGAGAAACATGCGTCTGAAAAAGAGACTTCTATCAAATGAAATTAGTTATTAAATTACACTTTACAATGCCATAAAGTTATAGTGATTTGAAGATGAGAAGCAGATCCAGTTTCACCAGGAATTGAACAAGGTGAGCAAATGTATATTCTCACTATCATGTTAATAGGATGAAACCTTAACTACAGGATATGTTTTATAATTATAATATTTCAGTAATATAGGTCTATGTTTGCTTCTGGAGATTTTTTTCTTCTTAACTTTCTGTGTATTGTCAATCTTTTGTTACATAATCTAATCAGTAATTTTTATATTGTTAACATCTCTGGTTTTGTTAATGGTTATTAATTTAATGCTTCTCTAATCTTCTGGCATCTATCCCACTGGTTTATTCCATTAAAAAAACCTTTCAACCAATTTGTCACTCTTTTCACATTAAATTTGATTAATAGTTTAGTTTATGTATCATAAATTAAAAGTCAACTAAATAATTATAACTTTTTACAAAGACAATCTCATCAATCGTTATAAAGACTTGCTCAGCAGATAATTTTTCAATTCTGTACTGGATTTCTGTGCTGTCGGAATCTTCTTCCGGAGCATTTGGGATGAGAAATGAATGGTTGATATTAAGGTTGTTGACTATCTTCCTAGAAGCCTCTGGAAACCTAGTATAGGCCTCACGAAGAATATCATATAGGCGAGATAGAAATTCTGTTTGGTCTGACAACATGTTTGGCACTGGAGATAGTGGTGTCTCTTGAGGTGATGGATTCTCCACCCCAGAAGTCGAGATTATCCATGGGCCAGGGCCCTTACTTAGTAAATAATTACTTAAATGTTTGTCTGTTTTCTTCTATGTTCTAGTTACTAGTAATCTACCTACATTCGATAAAGTGAGCCGGTATGCTTAAGTAGAGGATGGGATACTTGGTGCTGGGAACTTTTTTTCGACCAGCACCAATATACCCCAACCGGTGTGTATAAACCTCGGATCGCATACAAACGTGACGTCAAGAATCCTCACTCATATGTACCCACTATTTCTTTCGAATAACATAATATTTAATTAGATGACATGATTATTCTTGTCTACCTAATTCTCGTATAAGACTGATAATTATATTTATAAATTTTAACTCGCGGATTTAATCTAAAAACACCTGCTTATATAGAGCGGTTTTACGATCGTCATTAGCTGAAGGTCGTTAACCTTCAATATAAAAATACATCAACTTTATACGAGGTACACAAAACAACAATTGATCAAATATTAAACTTTAAATAAATATCTCTTTACGATTGTTATAAATACTATTAAACTATAATATAATGATAATACGAAACGTCTATTATACGTTTCTAGTCTATTGTAGGGCTAAACAAAATTATTTTGATTTACAAATTAAAGATATCAATAATAAACAAGTACGCAGTGATTATTGAATTGAAAAGTACTTTACGAATTGTATCTTGAATATTTGAAAAATTATGTTACCAAATTTAGTTAATATAATAATATATACCCGACCGAAATATTAATAAAAGAAATTATAGAAAAAACTCGGATAACCAAAGCAATGTAATTATAATACATGAGTTACATTTAGTTTACTCAAAGACAAGAGTTCCAAAATGTATATACGATTAAATATGACAAGAATTAATATAATTATATATTTTTTAAACTCACCGCATGGACCACAGACGTTTGGATACAATTAGCGTTCCCTTTGTAAAGACAATGAAGTCTACTTTTCAAAGTAACAAGACATTTGCTTAATACACATACTTACACTAGGTATCTGATTGCTGAATCATTTGTACCATACCCATGGCTATTAGTTGTCGAGGTATTAAGCTAAAAAATATACAACAATAAAGGTAGAGAGTAGTCTATTTCGTCGAACAAAAGCTGATTATAAGTTAATCAGAATTTGAACTTAACAGCGAATGCCACGAGAAGGCCTTCTCAGATATCCAAACTGATAAAAATTTCACTTTGAATATAAAAAAGTTAGACTATATATTCGCCAGGAAAGAGGGAAGGAGCTTTAAAGAAATATAAAAATTATTAATTTTGGTTAAAATAAAACCGTAGGTTACTCATATCTTTTTACATAAATGTCTAAGTAAAAGACCAGATACTGATCTTCTATTACAAAAATTTGATAAATATTGCTTAAAATTCAAACGGTGTGTTACCTTAAGTATGATCTTTTTTTTGTGGGCATCTTTTTATTATTTTGAATACCAACAAAGTAACACACCCTGAAGTTACTCAGAGGATTACGTTGCGGTATAATATGGCCTCTTTTCGTTTTTTTTTTGTGGGCATCTTTTTATTATTTTGAATACCAACAAAGTAACACACCCTGAAGTTAATCAGAGGATTACGTTGCGGTATAATATGACCTCTTTTCGTTTTTTTTTTTGTGGGCATCTTTTTATTATTTTGAATACCAACAAAGTAACACACCCTGAAGTTAATCAGAGGATTACGTTGCGGTATAATATGGCCTCTTTTCGTTTTTTTTTGTGGGCATCTTTTTATTATTTTGAATACCAACAAAGTAACACACCCTGAAGTTACTCAGAGGATTATGTTGCGGTATAATATGGCCTCTTTTCGTTTTTTTTTGTGGGCATCTTTTTATTATTTTAAATACCAACAAAGTAACACACCCTGAAGTTAATTAGAGGATTACGTTGCGGTATAATATGGCCTCTTTTCGTTTTTTTTGTGGGCATCTTTTTATTATTTTGAATACCAACAAAGTAACACACCCTGAAGTTACTCAGAGGATTACGTTGCGGTATAATATGGCCTCTTTTCGTTTTTTTTTGTGGGCATCTTTTTATTATTTTGAATACCAACAACATAACACACCCTGAAGTTAATTAGAGGATTACGTTGCGGTATCGTATAGCCTCTTTTGTTTTAGTGGCATTTTTTATTATTATGAATACCAACAAAAGTAACACACCCTGAAGTTAAAGGGTACACATTGTTATTTATTATGTTACAGATAGTACACAACATAATTACTATTCATGAATTATTTAAATAATTTAGTTTTCACTTGACTTTTTAAAGTAAAAATTGACAATTTTTATATTAATTAAAGAAAAGGATAAGGAGAGGATAGGAGAAAATAAGAATTTGGATTGTCCTGAAACATAAAGAAAAAAATTAATATTTTATTACAAAAGATAAATTGAAATGACAAAAGTTTTAAATTTTAGGCCTTTTGTATCCGAAAGGTAAAGAAGTGTGATCTTCAAAAAACTTTCTCTTAGTAGAATTAGTTTTGTAAGTTTTTTTAACAGTTTTTGTCAAAACTTCATATTCTTTTGTACGACATATTTGTTTGCTAGTTATAATCAGAGGTTCCGTCTTTTTTAACACCATTTCTTTTATAGAATTAAAGTTTATCTTTTCTGATGTTGAGTAGTTTAGTTGAATACCTTTGACTTTGCAGACAACTGATTCTGGTTTGGCGTCATTATTTGGAGAAAATATTTTAAAAGCATAATTTTTAGGACCTCCAGAGACAAATTCTGTAATGTAGCTTCCATTACCATAAGTTTCCACTTCATCTGTCATATCGCCAAGAAACGAACCCGTAGGGATATCATATTCTTCTTCTTTTGAAGTGTATATTATAGAGTCGGTATCGTAATACAATACTCTGTTTCCTAACTGCTCCAAATAACTATAAAGTTTTAATCTAGCTATAGTTGTAACGTAAGCAGCTATGATAACGTTAGCAGTATTAGAAATATTATAAGCTTCTTCTTTTAAGCACCAATTAACAACTAACGTCTCGTCATTTACGGGTAAAACTGTATTTACATAAATAGAAGGGTTTACTAACATATTAAAAAATTCACCTGGTTCATTAAGTATAGAGGTTTGATTCTGATTTTCACGCTGAGCAAATTTTCCCCAAAAAGAGTTTAGCAATAGTTTAGCAAGCGATCGAAGACCTGGATTATCTATAATTTTTGAATATTCTAGTTTGACATTTTCACGATTGAAAAATTCTCCAATATACTGATCTTTTTCCTCATCAGTCTTACAATTCTTCGGCCATCCCGAGGCTTGCTGTTTAATCTGAAGAAATTTGTTAATCATATCGGAAAATAATCCAGCTTGATTTGTACTAAGCTGAATAGTTTCGTAATCCCATATTTCGTATATGTTTATTATCTGATAACCTTTTTCAAGAGCTTTTACAACTTCTT